ACTATTATAGATATGAGGGAACAAGCAAGTTTTTTGTGCTCCTGGAGTAAATCACCAGGCCTTAATTTAATCGATTTAGTAGAAAATGAAATTCATTCCAAGATCCCTAGTGTGTAATATAGTCAAATAGCATGGCTACATTTGAATGATCAGTATTGACATGGAAGGTGGTTTTCATTTTTTCACTTCTGACTTCCTTTATTCAAAATGAGACCCAGCAGAGGTACAGAGTCAGGCATGCTGGAGTTTTGACAAATGTGCTGAGATTAAAGAGACAGCAAGTAGTGTTGGTTGATAATGGCAGTCTCTCCCCAGTAGTAAATGCAAAGTAGAATTCATTACTGACCTCTGCCCCTAACAATAAATGCGGGTTGTTTAATCAACAATGTTAAGGACTGTTCATACATTGGTATCCAAAATTCCTGGGAGTACACAGATTTTTATGAACACCTATTTTCTGGGGACCAAAGAGTTAACCAAGTGCCTCTGGTTATCATTTAGGAGTGACTCTCATAGTTCTGAGGAAGCCTAAGTGCCTCCATACATTTGCAGGATCCTTAGCTACTACTCCAGGAGGCAGTAGGTGGTCAGGAGGATGGTAACAGGTCACAGAATGCTAGGCTAGATGACAGCAATGTATGCTCCTCCAATTAGGAGACACGGAGAAGCAGCAGAAAGAACAGTGGCTCCGTGACAGTGAGTAGCATTACCTCCTGTTTGTTCCTGTGCTAAACCCCAGAGTCTGAAGAGCTTCCGTGTCAATATTAGTAGCCGATGGAAGGATTTATGGATGCACAGGAACCGTGGGGCCAAATAGTTATCCCACTACCAGAGGTAGGAGAAGGAACCCATCCATAAGATAAGGAACTGTTCTGCCGCTAATGTGGCTAAATTTGGTTCTGATAATTTCTTCCCTAGACTATGTATCTTAGAAGTCTGGAAGAAATAGCTTCTCTACCTCCATTTTTATCTTTTTCAATATCTTGGGCTTTACTAGTATGAAAACAATTACCGTTGGTAGGTTGGTTATTCAAGTCTTTCTGGACTAGTTAGGTAAAATGCTTGATTAGTATATTTACATCAGTGTTTTCTCCTCTTTATGGTTTTAAATCACCATCGGTTTGGGCCGGGCGCGGTGGCTCAAGCCTGTAATCCCAGCACTTTGGGAGGCCGAGACGGGTGGATCACGAGGTCAGGAGATCGAGACCATCCTGGCTAACACGGTGAAACCCCGTCTCTACTAAAAAAATACAAAAAAATAGCCGGGCGAGGTGGTGGGCGCCTGTAGTCCCAGCTACTCGGGAGGCTGAGGCAGGAGAATGGCGTGAACCCGGAAGGCGGAGCTTGCAGTGAGCTGAGATCCGGCCACTGCACTCCAGCCTGGGCGACAGAGCGAGACTCCGTCTCAAAAAAAAAAATAAATAAATAAAATAAAATAAATCACCATCGGTGATTTTCTAGTATCTATGATTCTAAGTCGTAGAAGTTAAGAAGAGAGAAGAGCCAAAAGACCAATATTTCTCATTTGTTTTGCAAATAACACTAAAATTAAGGGGGTAAAAAGAGCTAGTAATCTATCCTTATTGAAAGACAAATGATTTTGCTAAAATTAGTTGACAGTTGGGAAAAACAAATTTATTTGGTTCATGTTACAACAGCATAACCAAATGGATTAAAGAACTTAAAAAGAACTTAAAAAATGAAGTAATAGAATAACTAGAAGAATCTGTATGTGTGTGTGTATTTGACATTTGATCATATTTATATGACCACATGTGAAGGTTTGAGTGTATGCTGCTGCCAATGTCAGAAAAATATGTTGCTTCCAAGTGCAGGGGAGGACTCTGTAGGGCAGGAATGCCTATAGGTCAAAAAGAAAGGACAAATGGTTACACACACACACACACACACAGCCAGAAAAAACCTTTACTATTTTTGGTAAACTTCATCGAAACATAACATACTTGTGGAAATGTACACAAATCATAAGCGTGGATAAATTTTCCGCAAGTGAACTTTCCTGCGTAATTACACAAAACAGAAGGAAAAAAACATAAAGGAAATGATTGACAAGTTTAACAGCACAAACAATTTAAAATATCTGTATGTCAAAACGCGCCAAACACAATTACAAAGGAAAAAATGACAAAGTAGAAAAATATTTGCAAATAAATGACATAGGATAATTACCTTAATCTTTATTTTTCAAAGTAAAAACTCATTAAGAAACTTGAATATTACAGCTCAAGAATGGGGACCTGGCACGGTGGCTCATGCCTGTAATCCCAGCACTTTGAGAGGCTGAGGCGGGCGGATCACCTGAGGTCAGGAGTTCCAGACCATCCTGGCCAACATGGTGAAACCCCGTCTCTTTTATTTTTATTTTTATTTATTTATTTATTTTTTGAGATGGAGTTTCGCTCTTGTTGTCCAGCCTGGAGTGCAGTGGCCCGATCTCAGATCACTGCAACCTCCGCTTCCCGGGTTCAAGTGATTCTTCTGCCTCCCAAGTAGCTGGGATTATAAGCATGCACTACCACGCCCGGCTAATTTTGTATTGTTTGTAGAGATGGGGTTTCACTATGTGGATCAAACTGGTCTTGAACTCCTGACCTCAAGTGATCTACCTGCCTTGGCCTCCCAAAGTGGTGGGATTATAGGCATGAGCCACCGTGTTCAGGCTGAAACCCCATCTCTACTAAAATACAAAAATTAGCTAGGCGTGGTGGTGCGCACCTGTAATCCCAGCTACTCAGGAGGCTGAGACAGGAGAATCACTTGAATCTGGAAGGCAGAGGTTGCAGTGAGCTGAGATTATGCCACTGCACTCCAGCCTGAGTGACAGAGAGAGATGCCGTCTCAAAAAACAAAACAAACAAACAAACAAAAATGGGTAAGGTATACAAGAGGAAATTAAATGTATGAAAATAAAAACCCTTCTCTAGTAATTAAATAAACTGTCCATACTGAAAAAAACATATGCTTCCCTATAATGGATGGTGCAGGGACAGCATTTTATATGCATTTCTGGTGGGAGTATAAACTAGTTGCTTAGTGTGAATGTGGGGTGACAGTGAAGAGTGGGAAGGAGGTGGCTGTGTGTAGTTTGCAGTGGTTACCAGGGGCTTGCAACCCGTATAGGCACTTTTACCCAAACATTCTACTTCTAGAAATGTGCTTCAAGTAAATAATAGTAAAACACAAGGAATAACTTAAATAGATTTTGTTTAAACAGATTCACTGCTGCTTGATTGGTTGGTTAAAAAAAAAAAACATTGGGGAAAATTTTTTTCTAAAGACAAACAGGGTGTATAGCTGTAATGGTATGATCTTCTTCAGCCGTTAAAAGACACCATGGCCCACTGCAATGGTGCACAACTGTACTCCCAGCTACTCAGGAGGCTAAGGCAGGAGGGTCACTCGAACACAGGAGTCTGAAGCTGTATGCACTATGATTGCACCTGGGACTAGTCATTGCACTCCAGCCTGGGCAACATAATCAGACTCTGCATCTAAAAAAAAAAAAAAGATACCACAGAAGACTATTGAATAAGTGACAAAAATTGTATTATGTTAAGTGAAGACATCAAACTGTAAAACTAAACATATGCTAAAATTCCAGTTTTTGAAATGAATTATCTATACAGAGAAACATACTGAAAAAAGACTGGTAGGTCTTACATCAGAATACGAATAGGTCTGGATGAAGAAATATAAGTGCTTTTTAGTTTCTCCTTGTTCTTTTTTATATTTTCCAAGTTTTCTGTAATGAGTACTAACTAATTTTGTAATCAGCAAAAATAAACAGTATAGGTAATAAAAATAATTTAAAAATTTTCTATTGTGTGATTGCATAAAGTTCATATCCTAGGCAGTAAACATTTCCCATATATACACACACATATATACATATATACGTACGTGTATATATACACATACGTGCGTGCGTGTGTGTGTGTATACATATATATATATATACTTTTTTTTTTTAGAGACAGGGTTGCACTCTGTCACCCAGGCTGGAGTGCAGTGGTGCAATCATAGCTCACTGCAGCCTCAACTATCTCAGCTGAAGCAATTCTCTCACCTCGCCCTTTGAGTAGCTGAGACTACAGGCATGCATCACCTTCCCTGGCTAATTGTTTTTTCTTTCTTTCTTTCTTTCTTTTTGAGGCGGAGTCTCGCTCTGACGCCCAGGCTGGAGTGCAGTGGCCGGATCTCAAGCTCACTGCAAGCTCCGCCTCCCGGGTTCCCACCATTCTCCTGCCTCCAGCCTCCCCAGTAGCTGGGACTACAGGCGCCGCCACCTTACCTGGCTAGTTTTTTGTATTTTTTAGTAGAGACGGGGTTTTACCGGGTTAGCCAGAATGGTCTGGATCTCCTGACCTCGTGATCCGCCCGCCTCCGCCTCCCAAAGTGCTGAGATTACAGGCTTGAGCCACGGCACCCGGCCTCATTGTTTTTTCTTTTTGTTCTTTTGGTTGAGATGGTGTCTCACTATGTTGCCCAGGCTCGTCTTGAATTCCTGGCCTCAAGTGATTCTCCTGCCTCGGCCTCCCAAAGAGCAGGGATTATAGTGGTGACTCTTTTTATCTTCTCTGTCTAAAAAGATTAAGAAATGTTATACTAATCTTTACAGATGTACATGTTTGCCTCTCTGCGGTGAAATCCAGGCTCTTGAGAAGCATTCAACACATAATTTAAGGATTAATTAAGAATAACTGCTAATAGGCTAGGCACAGTGGCTCACGCCTATAATCCCAGCACTTTCGGAGGCCGAGGCAGGCAGATCAACTGAGATCAGGAGTTCGAGACCAGCCTGGCCAACATGATGAAACGCCATCTCTACCAAAAATACAAAAATTAGCCAGGTGTGGTGGCACATGCCTTTAGTCCCAGCTACCTAGGAGGCTGAGACAGGAGAATTGCTTGAACCCAGGACACAGAGACTGCAGTGAGCTAAGATCACACTACTGCACTCCATTCTGGGTAACAGAGTAAGACTCCATCTCAAAAAAAGAAAGAGAGAGAGAGAGAAGGAAGGAAGGAAGGAAAGAATAACCGCATAACCACTGAACTAACAATGAAATACCCTTGACAAACAATAGAGACACGTATTCCCCCAGAACACCAACTAGATAAAGGTATTAAATTCCTAGTGACTCAAATTACTGTGATAATATCTCAGCACTGTTTGAAAGGGTCCACTGAATTCCAATTATATAAATATTAAGCTTTTATTCACCTGCCTAATGGGATTATCTGTCACCAGGGATCACACGATTTTTTTTTTCTCTCTTTTTCTGCAAAAGATGTTGCCAGTGCCTGCCTGTATGAGTGGAGATGGAAAATCACCCCGACCAGATCATTGTGCCTTTTTTGCACTGAGAAAGCTTGAGTGATGACTAGGAGAAAGGTGAGAAGAGGCGTTTTGTTTAAAGTCAGCTCCTGAGCTGAGATGTTGAGAGTATTTACATTAGAAGTCCATGGTCTTCTGGGAAGGGAGAGATGAATACTTCTTTCTTGCTCCCCAAGCTTGTTCCCCAAGGTTTGCTTTCTGGTAGATTTGTAGATCTGGACCAGGTGATCCCAACCAAGGCCCAGATGCGAATAATGCAGCACAGTACCCAAAATAAGATGTGGGAGCCAAGGGCTGGCTCTGACCTCTAAATCAGAGCCCTGAGGAGCTCTGCAGAGCTGGAGGAGTTGGCCCTGCAGTCTCTACTACACCAGCCACCCTGGGCCCCCTGCTTTTATTTATTTATTTATTTATTTATTTATTTATTTATTTAGAGACGGAGTCTGGCTCTGCCGCCCAGGCTGGAGTGCAGTGGCACAATCTCGGCTCACTGCAACCTCCGCCTCCCGGGTTCAAACGATTCTTCTGCCTCAGCCTCCCAAGTAGCTGGGATTACAGGTGTGTGCCACCACACCCAGCTAATTTTTGTATTTTTAGTAGAGACGGGTTTTCACCATGTTGGACAGGCTGGTATCGAACTCCTGACCTCATGGTCCACCTGCCTTGGCCTCCCAAAGTGCTGGGATTACAGGTGTGAGCCACCATGCCCAGCCCCTGCTTCTTGAGTTACTATTATTGTGACTGGAAGGGCTGGACCTTTACAACTCTCACTTAGGATTCTTGCCTCTCAGGGGATGCATGTGCTTGAGGATCTACTGTGATTTTAAAGGGCTCTGCACCAGCAACCCTAATGATGGCAATCTCTACTTTGATTCTCTGGATAAAGACTTTGAAGACAGAAGCAATACTTACTTCTCCACAATGCTTACGGAGCAATACTCACTTCCGCTCTTAGACCCAGGCCAGTGAGACCACTGCTGTGAATCCCACACTGGAAAGCGCCACACATATTACTGAAACAGCCACCAAATAAGTGTATTAAAGAACACATAGGCCAGCCACGTTGGCTCACGCCTGTAATCCCAGCACTTTAGAAGGCTGAGGCAGGCAGATCACTTGAGGTCAGGAGTTCAAGACCAGCCTGGTCAACATGGTGAAACCCCATCTCTACTAAAAATACAAAAATTAGCCAGGCATGGTGGCCCATGTCTGTAATCCCAGCTACTCAGGAGGCTGAGGTGGGAGAATTACTTTAACCTGAGAGGCGGAGGTTGCAGTGAGCTGAGACCACACCACTGCACTCTAGCCTGGGCAACAGAGTGAGACTCATCTCAAAAAAAAAAAAAAAAAAAAAAAAAAACAAGACCAAAACACACAGACAACTTTGTCATTCTAATGACCAAGCAGTTGCAGAATGACCTGTCACCCTAAATGATCACTCCCGAGGCTAACGTCATTGATACCCCAGGGAAATGATGGATTGTCCACATGTCCTGCAGATGTTCTTGAAACCAAAAGCCATCATGACCAAATATGGAGGTTTAAGGATATGCTGCTGCCAATGTCAGACAAATTCACTGCCTTGAAGCACAGAGAGGCTCTTCAGTCCAGGAGTGCCTAGGTAAAAAGAAAGCACAAAGGGTCAAATCTTTGCACTCAGATAGATAGCATGAATGCAGTAGATCTTGCTTAATGGAATCATCATTTTCCAGGTAATGAGGACCTTCCATGTTCTGGCTTGTTTTCATGTTCCCAGTTAGGAGTACCTCTGAAGGAACTCAAGAATGACAGAGTGTTTGGAACAGCACTACATAAAGCTGAATAATTCCTCTTACTCATAAATGTTCATATAGTCTGAGCATACTGAAATGGGAGAAGGAGTCTTTATTCTGGCAACTAGATGGACACTGAATGCTAGAATTATGCTGATTTTAGTTTCAAATATTAATATAAAATATACTTAAGTTCAAAAATTGAAATAAAATTTCAGCACTTAAAAATAATTTTGGGCTGGGCATGGTGGCTCACACCTGTAATCCTGGCACTTTGGGAGGCCGAGGTCGGTGGATCACCTGAGGTTGGGAGTTCGAAACCAGCCTGACCAACATGGAGAAACCCCGTCTCTACTAAAAATACAAAATTAGCCGGGCGTGGTGGCTCATTCCTGTAATTCCAGCTAGTCGGGAGGCTGAGGCAGGAGAATCACTTGAACCCGGGTGGCAGGGGTTACAGTGAGCTGAGATCATGCCATTGCACTCCAGCTTGGGCAACAAGAAGGAAACTCCGTCTCTAATAATAATAACAATAATAATAATAATAATTTTGATTTGAAATTGTGATATTCCTTAATTCTCATTTGTAGTTTTCAAAAAATAACATTTTTTAAAAATATAAAAATTGTTCATGTTTTGATTTTTCATGTTCCATTAATTTCCATTTTTTGATGAAAGTAATAATCAAATTTTGTATACTTTGTACACATTCATCATCAAATTTTGTACACTTTGAATATAATTACATTTTATTATTTATGTATTTATTTTGTTTTTTTGAGACAAGGTCTCACTATATCTCCCAGGCTGCTCTCAAATTCCTGGGCTCAAGCAATCCTCCTGCCTCGCCCTCCCAAAGTGCTAGAATCACAGGCATTAACCACCACACCCAGCCACATTTTATTTTTTAATTCCAATTTCTTTACTGTCTATAGATCACAAATTATCAGAAAATCGTAAAGGCAACAATGAAATTTGTGTTTAATTGCAATGAGGATCAATGAGGATGATAAAAATTAATTGCTATAAATAATAACATTTATAAATTAAACATCTATGTTTTTGAAACAGCAAACAGAGGATGGTACCCTGTTTTTCTCCCTTTCTCTTCCTCTAGTTTGTTGTATGCATAGTGAAAAAATAGGATAATGAGGAAAAAATCTCTTTAATTTCAAACAGTATCAGCTTTGCCCTCATCAACCAGAACTTTTAAATTGAATTAATTTTAAGAGCTTGATTTACCAAAAATACTCTTTTAATCCCCCACTTCACTTATTTACATTCCTCTTTCTAAAATGAATACTATAGAAAAGAATGAAAAGGAAGCTTAGTGGGGGCCAATTCAAATAACACCTGTAAGGAGGCATGTATGATATACAAACAACAGGAAGTGGATTATACATAGGTCACATTTTGGTGCATTATTTTTCTTAGCATTCTTGGAACCCACTCTAAGCCACACCTACATAAATCTGTCAACAATACTCCTGGTAGGAATGTAATTTGGGAAGGGTTTATGGAAAATATGCAAGGTATATTCAGAGCATTGTAAGTAATAAGGGTAGCAATTGGGTAGCTAATTTATAATGAGATCTTCTTTCGTGTTGTCACTACTGTTTTATTTAAATTATTTCATTTAATCCTTTTTTTTTTTCTTTTTTTTGAGACGGAGTCTCGCTCTGTTGCCCAGGCTGGAGTGCAGTGGCACAATCTCGGCTCACTGCAAACTCCACCTCCTGGGTTCATGCCATTCTCCTGCCTCAGTCTCCCGAGTAGCAGGGATTACAGGTGTGCGCCGCCATACCCAACTAATTTTTGTATTTTTAGTAGAGACGGAGTTTCACCATGTTGGCCAGGCCAGTCTTGAACTCCTGACCTTGTGATCCACCTACCTCGGCGTCCCGAAGTGCTGGGATTACAGGCATGAACCACCGAGCCTGGCATTATTTCATTTAATTCTTACTCTAGGGAAAGATACTATTATTTTCTTCAGTTTAGAGAAAACCAAAGCCAAAGATACTAAGTATTTTGTATCGAGTTTCACAGCTAGTAAATGGAGGTGAGGTGCAAACCCAAACAATCTTATTGTGAAACTTTCACTTTTGAGGATTAAATTAGGCCCTAGGGTCTGGCCTTGCTTCCGATGCTGCCTCTGACATTTATTAATTGTGTGACTTCAGGAAATGATACTTTCTCAGCCTAGATTTTCTCATTTGTAAAATGACAGTAGCATCTTAGGTTTACGTGATCATTAAAAGAGATAATGTAGGTAAAGTTCTTTGTAAAATATCTGGTACTAGAGTAAGTGCTCAATAAATGTTACTTATAACTATATTATTATTTTAAACTGCTTTTTATACTATTTTAAACATATTCATGCTCATTGATCTAGTAAATCAACATTTTGGAATCTATTCTGAGGAAATAATCAAACATGGATATGCAGACAAATGTATGTACAAGGATGTTCTCTGAATTTCTATAAAAATGAGATTTTAGAAAAAAATTAACTATGTAGCAAGGGGGAAATAATTAAATAAATGACTCCATATGATGGACTGTTAGCTGACATGAGTCCATGCAAGGTGGTCCATGCCTGTAATTCCAGCACTTTGGGAGGCCGAGATGGGAGGATCACTTGAGCCTAGGAGTTTGAGACCAGCCTGGGTGATATAGCGTGACCCTATCACTACAGAAAATTTAAAAATTAGCCTGGTGTGGTGGTGCTTATCTGTAGTCCTAGCTACTAGGGAGGCTGAGGCAGGAGGATCCCTTGAGCCCAGGAGTTCAAGGCTGTAGTGAGCCATGATTGTGCCACTATACTCCAGCCTTGGCCGCAGAATGAGACCCTCTCTCAAAAAAAATAAATAAATAAATAAATAACTTCTCTATAAATGGATTCATAATATACATTCTATTTCTACATACAATTATAATTTAAATTTACAATATGGCCAGGTATGGTGGTTCACACCTGTAATCCCAGCACTTTGGGAGGCTGAAGTGGGCGGATCACCTGAGGTCGGGAGTTCGAGACCAGCCTGGCCAACATGGAGAAACCCTGTCTCTACTAAAAATACAAAATTAGCCAGGCATGTCAGCATGCGCCTATAGTCCCAGCTACTCAGGAGGCTGAGGCAGGAGAATCACTTGAACCTGGGAGGCAGAGGTTGTGGTGAGCTGAGATCACGCCATTGCACTCCAGCCTGGGCAACAAGAATGAAACTCCGTATCAAAAAAAAAAAAAAAAAAAAAAAACAATAGAAAAGAAACAAGTGAAATGGA